GAGGTCTGAATGGGGCATGTGTTTAAGAACATTCTAGCAACATGCATTTCCTGAGCGCCCTGTGCTGGGCGTTGGGAGTCAGCAGGTAACAGGAGGTCTAGGGTCCTGCAACCAGTTGGGGTAATCTGGACCCTCCAACAAGCATGGTGGAGTTGGGAACAGGGTGATCAACCTGGCCCAAGGAGGGAGGGCCGGGGGTGTTTACACTGAGGCCTGAAGCACGGCTGAGTGTTCATAGGAGATTGTGCTAATCACAGGGCCCCGCAGGTGCAAATGTCTGGCAGGAAGGATCTTTGTCAAGGGGCCCTGCATGAAGTGCAGAGTGGACAGGATGTGGGGCAGGTGAGAGGAGGTTGCAGGGGTCTGCAGGGGCTGATGCTGCGGGGCTTTGTGGGCTAGAAGGAGTCAGGACTTTATCTTGCAGAGGTGGAGAGATATGGAAGGCGTTCAGCGGGGGAAGGACGTGCCAGCTTTGCTTTCTGCAGAGATCCTCTGGCTATTGTGCAGAAGAGACAGGCAGGGAGACTGGTTTGGAGGCTGTTAAAATTCTCCAGGGGAAGCTGGTCAACCCAGGTGGGGCTGGGGACATAGGGATGTGTTCGGGTTCCAGAGATGTCTGGAAGACAAAACTGGCAGATCTCAGCGGTGGCACTAAAGAAGGGGACCAGAATGATCGCCTGGTTTCTAGGTTGGACCTCTCCTCTCAGCACCCCAACTCAGCGAACCCCTTCAGGTCTCAAGCTAGTTGTCCCTGCCTTGAGGAAGCCTAACCCCACCTCCCGACCCCTGGCGAATGTCCTGATGAGACAGGCACTGGACCAGGCAGCCGGGGAAATTGATGTGACGTTGAAGGCAGATGAACGAGCTCATTACTGTTTGCTCCTCCAGCCTGTGAACAACTGGGTCAGGGGCCTCTTCTCTCTTCCCCAACCTGTCTCCCCAGCTTCTAGACAAAGCCTGGCATATGGGAGCCCCTCAGTCAATATTCATCGAAAGCAGGAAGAATAAATGTAGCATAAAGCACGTGGATTCCGGGACTTCCTGGTGGTCCAGCGGTTAAGACTCCGAGCTCTCAATGCAGGGGGCACAAGTTCGATCCCTGGTCAGGGAACTAAGATCCTGCATGCTGCACAGTGTGGCTAAATCAGTCAATCAATCAATCACGTGGATTGTAAACCCCTTTCCATCTCTGACATTCAAGAAGATGATGCCGATGATGATTCAGATGCTTGCTGTCCTCTAAGCACCTTATAAGAATTACATTCAAGCTAATCATTTACTCCTTCCAACAACCTCCAAGATTTTATTACCATTACTTCCATTTTACAGATGAGGAAACAGAGGCTCCATCAGGTAACTGGGCTCAACCAAGGGCAAGAGCTAGTAAATGTCAGAGCTGAGATGCAAACTCAGGACGGTGGGGGAAGGAGGTGGTCCAGCAGCAGGCAGGAAGCTAGGATAGAGGGGCAGGTCCCCTCCTCTTGCTGGAAGGATGTGGGGTTATCCTTCCTAGTTGGGTACCCAGGCTTCATAAAGTACCCTGATCTTGGGTTCTTGATCCAGATGACTGGCTGTCATGGCAACATGGCCCTAAAAATATGCTCATCTCTCTAGAACCTCCTCAGGGCACCCTGGCACCATGCTCTCTTTCCGAAACTCAGTTGCTGTGTATCCATCACCATCTAGCGCTGGCACAAAAGGGATCACGCCTCAGGTGCTCCTCCCGTCCCCATCCCGCTCTTGCACACACATCGCTGACTTTGTGTCCATGTGTCTATGCCCAAAAGGCTGTGGGCTGCCTCCGGTCACTGTGGGTGCGAGATGATGTTCCATAACCAAGGTGCTTTATTTTCCCAAAGGCCTGAGACTCAAAGGTTCATGAGCTGAGATCTAGCGTGGAAACATGGTGACGTCCCAGCTTGCCCAGGCGTTGCATCCTGAAGCCAGAGTTTACATCAAAACTCATGCAGAATCAAAACAGCGCTGAGAAGCCCCCAAGAAGGCTGTGGGCACCACGGCCACTCAGTCAAGTCCAGCTCTACTGCTATCCTCCAGCATCGTACCCATCATCACTTCTGCGGAGCACCTGATGAAGTCGAAACTGAAAGTTTCTGTTTTGAGGCAAATATGTGACATATTTAAGCTCTGAAATTCTGTTCCAGGTGGTGAGATGCTCACATTTCAAGAGACGTTTTGGAACTAGGACCCACGGAAGGAACAATAGGCTTATAACTCTCACGTCACACTCCTGGCCCTTTTAGATGTTCTTTTCTTTTACTTGTTTCTTTTTATCTTTGTTACTTATTTTTGCTTGTAATTTTTATTTGTTCTCTGTTTTCTATTACCATGTTTTATTTATTCATAAATTCAGTAGCAAAAGTTACATAAATGTATGGATAAAACAAATTAAATATAAAATAATTGCTTTGTTATTTTCTTCCAAGTTATGTTGGTTTGTTTTGCCAAGTGTGTATATTGTTTCAGCAATGCTAACGTGCATATTTTTTATATAACACCTGTGAGAAAATAAGGACATCAACAGCTTTGAGTTGAAAGCAATCTGGAAGGTCTAGACTATGAATGCAAAGAAACTTAAGGACTCACTTCATTGATGGATGTCTATTGTGTTTTTCTTTTTTAAAATATTTATTTATTTATTTATGGCTGCATTGGGTCTTAGTTGTGGCGCATGGGCTCTTCGTTGTGGCGCATGGGCTCTTCGTTGTGGCACATGGGCTCCAGAGTGCATGGGCTTTGTAGTTGTGACACGTGGGCTCTCTAGTTGTGGCACACGGGCTCAGTAGTTGCGGCGTGCAGGCCCCACGGCATGTGGGATCTTAGTTCCCAGACCAGGGATCGAACCCGCGTCCCCTGCTTTGGAAGGCAGATTCTTAACCACTGGACCACCAGGGAAGTCCCCTATTGTGTTTTTCTTTTATAGGACTCACAAGATTGATACACTGAAAAAGTTATGTCTAAATAAGTTTAAAATAGTTCTTTCAATAAGGATGAAATAAAAATTCGAAGTGATCAGAAAGCAGCTGTGTTATATTTGAATGGATAGTAATTCTCTTTTTCTTTCTCAAATCATAAAATCATGGGGCATCTTGCCATCGATGAAGTCTTAGCATTGAAGAAATGTGAAAGTTGGTTTTGTGTGATTCCACCACAGTAGAATTTTAGAGCTGCCCTCACACACCTTAGGAACTGAGGATGGGAATCTATGCAGCTTGACACCGGAATCAGAGAATAGTGGACACTTAGACATAAATTACAGAATCTTGGAGAATCACAGAACTTTGGAACCATAGAATCCCAGCATCAGAATCTGGAGGCTGGATGGACATTGCAGCTGTCGTTTTACAGATGAGAAGAATAAGTCTCCGGGAACGGAAGTGATTTGCCCAACACTTGGTAGCTTCTAGCAGTAGAGCAGGGCTGACACCCACATCTCCTGATTCCTACCCAGGAATCCTATCTTCTGGTCCAAGACAAGACCGCCTGTCTTCTAACACAAGATGCTGGTCAAACTGGAGGGTGGAGGTTGGGAGAACTAGGGTGGGAAGAAGATGGAAAATGCATGTCTCAGAAGGTAAGATCTGAGGTGGTGCTTCAACTTTGAAGCTCAGCAAAACCACGGAGCGGGGTGTCATGAGGCCCCACTTTTCTTTCCGGCTTCCTCTTCTGCCACACTTAGCATTCCCTTCCCACCCCTGACATCCATCCACACAACCACCAAACTACTCCTCCCACCTTAATAAGCTTGGACCCACCACAAGCTCTCTCAGCCTCTGTGCCTTTGCGCATGTTGCTCCACGGCTGCCAAGTACAGCTGTGCAGGTTGGGCACTGCACAAGGGTACCATGATGACATCGTAGACATCACAGATTTATTCCAATATTTTCTGGCAGATGGCAGTCAAATGTCCTTAGGAAGTAGCATCTTTTTATCGTTTGCACAAAGGTGCCATATGGGGTGGCAGGGACCATACTGTTTGCTCTGCCTGGGATGTCATCTCCCTCATTCACCACCAAGCAAGCTCCTGCTCCATCCTTCAAGACCCTCTTCAAATATCCCCTCCTCCAGGAAGATATCCATGGCAACACCTCCCCTAGGCTTTCTGCGTAGATAAATGGTTAATAACATCAATCAATGCTACTTGTTGATTCAGGAGTCAATACTGCCTGATGTAGATTTCCAGAGCAGGGCATGTGCCATTTGTAGCAGGAGAGATGATTCTAGGTGGAACTTGGACCCAGGATTAAATAACACTAAATCAGATACAAGGAAATAAACCTCTTTTTACTCTTCTTTGATTAAATCAGGGAGAAACACGTCAGTTTGGGCAAGCGTGTCTTTCAGACCTCTCTCTGACTCTTGCTAATCACCCATTTTGTCAAAGAGCAAGCAGGATGCAGGCTAAAACCTTCAGCAAGCGGTGGTGTCTGCTGAGAATTCAATACTTGGCCTTCTTTAAATTGTATTTACTTATATGACTGCTTTCTATCTATACCATATGATGCCTGTTTTCCACATCCTGTAGTGTTATCAAATTTTATTTACAAGTCAGTGCATTTAAGCACACAATATTATTTATTTAAATAAAAATATTAAGTAACTAACAAAACAGGTGGTAAGCAGAGAAGGCAAAAATCAGGAGAGTGGTACCTGAAGGAGTAGAGTTTGAAAACACAGATTTGTTTAAGAGCGCAGCTCTGGAACCAGACTGCCTGGGTTCAGATTTTGACTTGACACCTGTGTGACCTTGGGCAAGTCACCTTCCCTCTCTGAGCCTCAATGTCCTCACTTTTTAAATAGGAATAATTATAGAACACCGGCCTCCTAGAGTAGTCCAAAAGATACACTAAGAGAATGTAAAGAACTTAGCAGTGCTCACTGTTTTGATTATTATTATAATTATCAGGACAGAGGAAGTCACATGCCAGCAATGACAGGGGACCTTGAGGCATCCATCTGTTCACAGACCCAGGAGACATTTTGGCTTCAGGAACTTTTATTTGCATGGGGAAGATGAGCCTCCGGAAGGGTGGGCCACGAGAGAAGAGTGGTGTGTAGACTCACTTGGGGGGCTCAGCAGCCAGCACGGGGAAGCAGCCTTCACGGTGCCACTGTCTGTCACGCAGGCGGCGCACAGCCTGCATCTGTGGCTGGAAGGCTCCCCACTCATTCCAGTGCCGGAAGTCACCAGGCTCCAGGAGGTACTGGTACCCGTGGTAGCCGGGATACTGATAGCCGACCCAGCTGGTAGGAAAGCAAGGACAGCATGGAGGTGGCTAGCCTCACTACCTGGCACTTGGACCCCCACCTTGACCAGTCAGTTCTCCATCCATCCATCCATCCCTGCAGTCTGCTCTCCATCCCTCACCTGTGAGGGTTTGGGCTTGGGTTCACCGGGGGCTCCTCTGTCCTGGCTTTGCCCCTTCCTGCTGGCTTCCTGCTGGCTTTGGCCAGTGATCTCGCCTCTCGGACAGATCTCAGTTTTCCCCTCTAGAAAGTGGGGATGGTCCTGGGAGCTGGTTTATTAGGGTGTTTGGGGGCCAAATGGGAAAATGCATCTAAAGTACTTACTAAGTGGGTTACATGTACATGGTAGGGAGATTAATACACATCCCACTGAAAGTGGTGACCCAGAGCTCAGAGAACAGGATTAAAGGGAGTGAAGATAGGGCTTGGGGACTGGTTAACAATGAGGCAGATAAGAAGGGGGAGCTTTGTTTCAAAAAATGGTTTCCTTTGTATGAAAGTGACTTTGCGTGTAGTGGTTGGGATCACACATTCTGGTATCAGATATAATCTGTTCAAATCCTAGCTCTGCCATTTACTAGGTAGATGACTTATCAGAACACCAGCTTGCTATCTATGAAGTGGGCATGATGACATACCTGCCTCATTGGTGTGTTGTAAAGACTCAATAACTATTCATTGAAAGTAGTTAGTGCAGTGCTTGGTCCACAGTAAGCAATTAATACCAGTTATTATCCATGATTTATTTCTAATTCTGTCCCTTGCCTCTGCGGGGAGGGTCTTTCCAGGCCTCTCCCAGACCCCCTGCCCATCTTTCAAAGTCTGACTTAAGTTCCAGCCTTGCCAGATAAGCCTCGGACCCACCCTCCACTCCAGCACACATACCCTGGTCCCAGAAACCTTCCTTCCTCCTCTGACCTCCTGTGGGGACCATCTCTTACCTATTATTGTTGGACATCATCTCACAGGTGTACTGACATCTCCCTGCTAGACTGAGTAAAGCCCCCTGAAGGCAGGAACTGGCCCTTGTTCATCTCTGCCTCCCCCAGTGTGCTGAGCACAGAGCCTGGCTCACAGGCAATGTTTAGTAAATTTCAGATTGCTTGAATGCAGGGATACTGGGTTTCAGAGAAGGAGAAAATAGCAAGAAAAAGGTCAGAGCCCTGACGGTGTTACAGGAGCTCAGAAAGAGTCTGGGGTGGAGAGGTAGACACCTTACATTTGCCTAGAGGAGACCAGGGGTGTCTGGCATGGTTGTTTGGAGGCAGGGGGATTGATAAAGTGACCTCCTTCGGGTATCCGGCCCTTCCCTGTGTTCTCATGAACATGGGGACATGGGGCTCTGTTTTGAAAGCTTCAAATCCTGAGAGTTCAGAGCAGAAGAAGTCCTTCAGAATAAGGAGCCTGCTGAGCCCATTGTATAGACGGCAACACTGAGTCACAGAGAGGGCATGTGGCTCACCCAGGTCCCACAGTGCATCAGTGATGGGGTTAAGGGCCTTTCATTACACAGTCTCACCTCTCAGATGTCATTCTACTCATGTCCCTAGAGGCTACAATTTCCCTGAATATTCCCTTTCCCTAGACACATCCAGACTCATCTACTCACGTCAGCTCTGCCCCTTGCACTTAATTATTCCTCCAACCCAAATACAGGGTTAGAAGCCCCTATTCGCTCCATCTTCCCACTTTTTAGAACAACTTGCTAGGTCTGTTTACATTGACATGTAGTTCGTCAACAAATGACTCCACTCCCCAGAGGGATGAAGCTCTCTTTGTGGAATCCTAGCCACTGGCACAGAGAGAATTTAGGAGGAGCCGGGCCCTTTCCTATATGTGTGATGTCACATCCTGTAAGGGGAACGGCGTCCGAATCTGTCTGAGCTTGAAGCAGGGGATGAGGGCCCGCAGGTGGGATTCTTACGTTCCGCTGGCGACCTTCACGCTGCCCACGCGGTCACAGAAGCCGTAGACCCAGAGACTGGGCACATCATCCTCCTGGATCTCCATGGTGTTGCCCTTGAAGTTGGCACCTTCAAACAGGCAGAGCTTGTGCGCCTGGGCGTCCTGGGGAAGGAGAGACTGAGTCAGGGCTGTGAAGTATGAATGGGGCAAAGAGAAGTGACTTAGCAGGGCCTTCTGGGTGTGGAAAGAGAGAGCGGAGTCTGCTCAGGCCACCATGGGACTCGCCCAGGACTGCAGTTGTCCAGCCTCAAAGCGCCCTCCTCATCTGGGAAAAGGGAGTGTCAGCCTCTACCTCCTGGAGTTAATCCATACGGAGCACTTAGCATGATGTCTGGCATACATACATCAAGTGCTCCAAGCAAATTTATTATTTTTATTATGATGATCAGGGATGCAGAGGCTCAGAGAAGTCAAGGTTCTTGATCAGTGTCACACAGCCAGCAAAGGGCAGAACCTTCCAGAGAAGCATTTCATTCCTCCCATCCCATCTTGCACCCTGTTCCCTTCCACTCCCTCTGCTGCAGCCACAGTGGCCCTATTTTAGTTCCTTGGTCCCACCCACTCCATCTTCATTCCAGGAACTCTGCCCTAACTGTTCCCTGGGAGACTGTTCACACGGCTGACTCAGTTCCCATCCTTTGCAAGCTGTCTCTCCTGATCACCCCCGACCACTCCCACCCGCTCTTCCCCAACGTCAGAGCCCCGGTTTCCTCTTCCCCTCTCCTAGCACACTGCATGGCCCCCGTGCAGCACGTGCAACAGTTGTTCACCATTACAGATTCATTTTTGTGATTAGGTTTTCAGCAGCTGCCTCCCACTAGGGCAGGGACCTTGCCTGTCCCAAGCACAACTGCACCCCCAGAGCCTATGACACAGCCTGGCAGAAACACATCAATGTGTTTGTGGTTGAATGAATGACTGTAGGTGGAAGATGGTTGAGATACAGATCCCTCTAACTTCCCAGGAGAGAGCGCTGGAAAGGAGTCAGGGAACCAGCTGGCAGGGAGTTGGAGCCACCCAGGTATGAGAGAAGATGGGCCACATTAGGATGGTGGCAGGGATACAGAGGAGGAATTAGACCAGTGGCTCTCAGCCCTGGCTACCCAGAGACTACCTAGGAGGCATGAAAAGATATCAGTGCCTGCGACTTAGCCCCAGAGATGTGGAGTTAATTGGTCTGGGGTGGGGTCCAGGCATTGGGAATTTTTTCTTTTTTCTTTTTTTTAATATTTTACTTTTATTAGAGTATAGCTGATTCACAATGTTGTGTTAATTTCAGGTATTCAGTTATACATACATATATTCACTCTTTTTAGATTCTTTTCTCATATAGGTTATCACAGAATATTGGGTAGAGTTCCCTATGCTATACAGTAGGTCCCCGTCAGTCATCTGTCTTATATATAGAAGTGTGAGTGTGTTCATCCCAAGCTCCTCATTTTCCCCTCCCCCTCGAGGATTTTTTTCTAATAATATATTTTATTTAAGCAAACGTGTCTAAATTATGATGATTTCAATATGTAGCCAACATGGCAATATTAATGAGGTATTTTACATTCTTATTCTGCTTTTTTACTATGTATTCAAAGCCTTGCATGTCTGTTACGCACCTCCATTCAAACTAGCCAAGATTCAAGTGTTTAATAGCCATATATGGCTATTATATTGGACAGCAAGGTTCTACAAGCTACTGGAAATGCTCTAGCTGATCGCTCTTCCAAACAAGGTCCCTTGACATCGACCGCCTTATAAGGACCATTGACTGAGAGATTTCTACGAATTCTTGCAAAGAGACCATTATTAAGGCTGATAATTCAGCCTCAATTTGAGAAAAACACTAGGAATGATCGGAATGGATAATCCATTAAGGTAAGTTTGGTGATGCCAAAACAGCTGGCTGTGGGCACGTGATAGCCTCAAAAGGACATGCAGGAAAACTCTTCACGGGGCTTCCCTGGTGGCGCCGTGGTTGAGAGTCCGCCTGCCGATACAGGGGACGCGGGTTCGTGCCCTGGTCCGTGAGGATCCCACATGCCGCGGAGCGGCTGGGCCCGTGAGCCACGGCCGCTAAGCCTGCGCGTCTGGAGCCTGTGCTCCGCAATGGGAGAGGCCACAAGAGTAAGAGGCCCGCGTACCGCAAAAAAAAAAAAACTCTTCACGAAAATTCCCATCTCAGATGGCAAAAGTTGGTTACCATCAGACACTAACATTGGTGAGTGAAGATGTGGCTGGTTCATGAATCATCATCAACATAATTCTAGAAGAAACCTGTGATTGGCTTGGAGATAACTCCACCTATTTTGGCTTTGAGTCTTCTTGAAGTTATGCTACTTACTTTAGTTAAACATTATAAAGGGGCTAATTCAGTATATAGTCTTATCATCAGGATAAGTTGCCTTTCATGGTGCCTTTCCACAATATCCCTCTTTCCAGCTATCACACAAACTTCAACCTGCATGTCTGATGATTTGGATGGACCTTGGGATTTTTCGAAGCTCCCCAGGAGTGCCTAATGTGCATCAGCAATTAGAAACATTCCACAAAGAGAGTCAAGGAAGACAACAACTGAGAGGTTCAGTCCACTCTCGACAGCAGCAGAGAAGGAAAAAACTAGGTTCCATTGGCCCTGGGCTCCTAGTAGGAGCTGGACACACGATGAGTGTATCAGGGATGCCTTATGAATTGTTGAGCACAAGAGCCATTGCCCTTGGACAACTCAGAGGTCGCTGCGCCTCCCTGCCCACCATTCCTTCTTTATTTTTCTTGCTCACCTGACTCCTTTGCTCTCCTGGCCATCAGACCTCACGCTTGCTCCTGCCCTGCCACACTAATCCCCCAGGCCCGGTACAGGAGCCACTCACCATCCTGATGGGCCAGAAGGACATGAGCCGGTCGCTGCGGTAGCTGCTGGACCACGTGTCCCATCGCGGGTACTCGCCCTTCTCCAGGATGAACATTTCCCCCCGGAAGTTGGACTGCTCAAAGGCAACCCAGCTGGACATGAGAGAGATGGGGAGGGCGGGGAGAGTCAGGAGGGGCAAAGGCAGAGAGGAGAGGAATCCTTAGCAGAAGCCGATCTTCCCCTTGCAAGGCAGCCCCAAGGCGGTGGGTTTGATCCCAGGCTATGCCACTGACTGGCTGTGTGACCACAGGAAGTTGCTTCACTTCTCTGAGCCTCGGTTTCCTCATCTAATATGCCTATTTTCTTGAAGTTGGTGAAGGATTAAATGAGACAATGTGTGTAATTATACGAGCAAAATGTTTCCCCAGATGTAGGATTTACATATAATTTAAGTATTATAAGGACTTGGGAGAAATAACACACAAGAAGACATTAAAAAAAAAATGGATTCCAGCTAGGAGAAAGTCTTTGTTGGATACTAATGTGTCTTTAACACTTATTAATCTCTCTTTGTAGCAAAGGAAGAACAGGCCACCAGCCCAGAGCCTTGAGCAGGCTATTATACTGTGCTCATTGTATAAATTTGTTTATGGATACCTTTTACTTATAGCAGATGATATCAGCTGTCCATTTGTAAAAGTGATGCAAAGGTTCTTTTGATATATGTTTACTTGTGTCAAAAAAGGTCATTTACAATGAAATATATCAGATAAATAATAGTCCTGGAGGTATGGGGGTAGGGAAAAATTGATACAGGTGCTTGAATCACCTGTATTTTTGGTAAAGACCGGCCTGGCATACAGAAGACAGTAATCGGTATGAGGGCAGTGGGAGGGAAACGATAGTAATATTCACCTCTCAGATACCTATGAGAATTAAATGTGATTGCGCATATGCAGGTGTTCAGTTCTCTAAAAGGACTAACTAAGCTTGATGTCAGATGGGGGCTTTCTCAGTGCAGCCTGATTGAGAATGGCAGTGAGCTTGTGTTAGAGGGACCAGGGATTCCGGGGGAGATAAGATGATCCCCATTTCATAGATGAGAAGGCTGAGACTAAGGAGCCCCTTGAACTTTGCTCTCTATGTGTTCAGGAGTTCTGAGGGAACATGAGAGGGCTGACGGGTCACTGACATTAGTCTTATCTCCCTGGGGGCTGCTGGGACCTTCCTCTATCCAGAAGGAGTTGCGGCAGATGGAGGAGGGATGGACTACCACCACAGACTGAAACGGAATGTGTCCCAGGAGCCTCAAGTCTTGTCTGAGGAATGCGCCAACCCACACTGGAGTGACAGAATTGAAGATGCAGACTGATTCTTCCAGAATAGAGGTGAATCTGCCTCCGTCCTCCCTAGTCTAGAGAAGAGGAGGAAGGGAGGGAGGGAGGGAGGAAGGGAGGGAGGGTTTTCACTAAGCAGGATATAACCCATTAGTGGGTTGTGGAATCAATTCACTGGGTTACTACCAGTATTTTTAAAGGATAGGAAGGAAGGAAGGGAAGGAGGGGAGGGACGGAGGGAGGGAGGGAGGGAGGGAGGTTAAATGGATGGATGAGTAGATAAGTGGATGGACAGGTGGATGGGTAGGTGGATAGAAGGATAGATGGCTGGATCTATGGATGAGTGTATTGATGGATGGATGCATGATGCAGAATGGATGGATGGAGGGAGGGGTAAATAGAGGGATAAAGAAATGGGTGGAGAATGAATGGACAGATGGATGGATGGGTTGATCTACAGATGGATGAATAGGTGGAGATTGAATGGACAGATGGATGGATGGGTTGATCTACAGATGGATGAATAGGTGGATGGGAAGGGAGCCTTGGAAGATGGTACCTTGTAGGAGTTAAGAACATAGACTTTGGAAACAGATGGACCTGAGTTCTGATCCCAGTTCATCATTTATTTTCTGTATGACTTTCGGCAAGTCACTTAAGCTCATTAAGCCTCCGAAAAGGAGAAGAAATGATTGCATCTACCTTGTCAGGAGGTTAAGAGAGTTTAAAAGAGAAAGCATGATCAGTAATATCTTTCATGACTAAAGAGGAAGGGAAGCTGCTGGAGATCTGAGCTTATGGAAAGACAGACACTGATGTGGTCCTGCCACCCTGCCACCCTCCCCCCAAACTGTCTTATTCAGGAGTCATAATGCCCAGTGACGACCTGTTACATGAGTGAGGAATTGTCAATATTTATTTTGGTGCCTTTTCTCATCTCCTACGGTTCATTTGAGTCTTACAAGCAAGGAGAGAGGTAAGGCAGGAATCTGAATTCCCAGATATGGAAACTGAGGCTCAGAGGGGCTAAGTCACTGGTCTAAAGTCACATGATGGTGTCAGATGTCAGCTGAGGCCTCCTAGGTTTCAGGCAGGCATGCCTCCCCTCCCCATCTATGTGAGGGCACACCTCCCCTCCCCTCCCCTCCCCCTGCCCACCTCATCCCGTCATTTTTTTTTTTCCACCACTATTTTTCCCATGACCCTGCTGGTCCTGACACAGAGCCAGGGCCCTGGAACACAGGATCTTTTCTCTCCCATCAGGTGCAGTCCCAGAGCACACACCAAAGACCAGCCGCATCTTTGTTTGAGGAGAGATACTCTGGGTTTGAGTCACAGACAATGAAAAAAGCCTGAAAACCCAAACTGGCCACATCCGGCAGCTTCTGCTCCCAGCTGGGCAGTCTGAGGGTGGCGCTGAGGTTACCAGCCTACCCTGGCCCAGGGTAACTTGGCTGAACTCACAGGGCAACAGGGTGGGTAAATAATCCTCACTGCCACCTGCCATGTTTGGGCACCCCCAAAGTGCCAGGCCCATGCTGCATTATCACCTTCAGACCTTAGAATAATCCAGTGGAGGGTAGTGGGGACCATTTCAGAGATGAGGAAACTGAGGCTTGGACACTGAACAAGGCAAACAGGGGAGCTGAGACTCAAACCCAGACCTGTCTGACCTCAAAGCTTATCTCTGCTCTTTGTATGCTGGGTGTACAGGCTGATTACACTTCTTGAGGGCTTTTCTGCTGGAGAGACAAGAGGCAAGGGGGCCCTGTGGGTCTTATCCAGGGGCTGGCCCTGCACTCTGAGCTTAGTGCACAGGGGCTGAAGTTGGTGCAGCCACTATGTCCAAGGGACAATTATTCTTGTTTTATATGGGGGTCACTAAGGCCCAGAGAAGCCCAGAGAGTTAGGGGCAGGCTGTGGAGCATGGTGATTAAAGCACTAGGGATGAAACTGGTCAAGCTGAGTTGAACCCAGGCTCTACCACTTACCACTAGGTGACTTTGGCCAAGGGACTTAACCTCTCTGAGCCTCGGTTTCCTCATCTGTCAAATGGGAATAAGAATCGCCCCTACCTCATACAGCACTGTAGGATCATCTAGGTAAAGCCCTCAGTCAGTGCCTGGCACTAATGGGTACTCAACAGATGCTTATTATTACCTTTAAGGCTGCTTGATGCCCAGGAGAGGGGACAGCTAACGGACACCTGGCTCTTTGGCCTCCTCCTGCTATCAGTGATGGGCAGGGTTCCTTCTATAGCAGAAAAAACATCTCTCTGGAGCCTGGAATCATGACTTACTGTCAGTGTGACCATATGTTAATCAAATCACCTCTCAGAGTCTCAGTTTCCTCACCTGTAAAATGGGAAGGAGAATCATACCTCTTTCCTCCCTCTTGGGTTTGAAAGAAATACTGGAAATAATATACAGTTGGCCCCAGTATCCGTGCATCCTACATCTGCGGATACGGAGGTTCGGCTGTACTACAGGGACTTGAGCATCCAAGGATTTTGGTATCACTGGGTATCCTGGAACCAATCCACCTCGGATACTGAGGGATGACTGTGTCTCTAACAGCATGGTGATAGGCATGGAGTGGAGCAGGTGGCCAGTAAATGGCAGCTACGGTCGTTTTCTTATTACTTTACTAGGGCTGTGGGAGTGCCCTTCCACTGCTCAACACTCACGGTCCTGAGGTGACAATGAGGCTGCGCACTCGGTCGAAGCCGCGGTCTCCCAGGTTCAAGCACTCCCCGGAGAATTCCACCCGCCGGCCCTGGAAGTTCTCCTGATCAAAGACCACCAGCTGCAGGAGAGAAACCCTCATGTCAAGGGGGCAGAGTGAGCAGGGAGAGGCTCCAGGTCAAATATGCATTAAGTACTTATGTAAATAAGAGCAGGCTGTGCCCAGATCACATGAGAGCTTGCCATGAGCCAAGATCTGTGAACTTAATATCTGTACCATCTTTAGGAACTGATGGATCTTCCTTCCAGGCCGTTATCTGTGCTCTTTCTCCTGTCTGGGATGCCTTCCTCATCACATATCCCCATCCTGGAGCTCATGTCCCCTGTCCTGTCCTAGGCTCAGATGTCACCTCCTTCAGGAAGCCCTCCCTGATACCCTCTCCCTGGGTGAGCTTGGTTGAGTGCCCACCCCCCACCCCCACTGTGCTCATCCCATCAGCAGCACAAGTAACACACTACACAGTCACTGCTGCTTTGCTTCTGGGTATCTCTATGCACCCCTCTCCCCTTTCACTCAACCCTTCCAAAGACCAATGGGGTGGATCCATTTCTTTATCTCCAAGCCCCAGCCCCTGCCACAGAGCTGATGCTCAGGAAACATTCACCAGTCTACCCAACAAACCATAGGGGAGGCCAGAAGCAGGGGCCCCTGTGTAAACGTGGGCTAATCCCCTCCTCTCACTAAGCATCCAATTTTGGTTTTTATCTGTTTGTTGTCCCAAGTTGGGAAAATGCTGCCATTCACTTGAACCGAGGCAAGTGGATGACTTCTCCTGAGCCTGTTTCCAGCTGTAAAAGGGAAAG